CCCACCCCCTCCGATACACAGGTAATCATGAGTTTCTTCACGCACCGAGCGCGAAAGAGAGGAGAGGAAAAACGAGCGAGAGAGTGGAACGAAGTAGCTCTCGGTTGAAAGGGGCAAGGGGTGGGTCACACTGCCCGTTGGCTGCCACGGGGCGCGCGGCGGGGGAGTCGAGCGAAGAGGGGATTCAGGCTAGGCGCCACGAATTCATTTGTCGTAGTGAGAGACCTTTAGCCGTTCGGGTAAAATCGGCAGTCTCCGTGAACGTATTTCACCGAGGGAACGAGAAAACCAGTTATCGTCGACGGTACGGCAGTACGCGCCGCGCTGCCTCGCCGGCAACTTGATAAATTTAAATAGTCGACATCTTCGTAGGTTTTTTTTTCATTTCGTTTCTTATATTTAACATGCACACGAGACGCGCAATACGACCTCGTGGTTAATTTTAATTTCAATACGTTTTATCCTTGACGTGTATAGACAACATTATCATTTAAAATTCAAGTTGCGATAGACTCTGAACAAAAAAAAACCACTTTGTTGATACATTTGAATAAATTTTTTCGCTCACTGTTACGTTTCACTTGATTTTACGGTAATTATCTGGACAGCCGGTCGTCTCTCGTCGTCGAGTGAGAGAAAGAATACGAAAACAAGTATCACAAGTGCCCCCTCCCGAGTGACCGTTCTGTCACGTGAAGAAAAAATAGTGATAAAAATATACATCGCTGGGATATTTCCATCCATAATTGTACGATACGTGAAAACGACTGTGCATAGCCAGTTTTGGTGCGGTTGCGGACTTGATCTAAGAGACCCGGGGGCCACATCGAAGTGGGTATCGCTGTTTGGAGTGGTGGCTATCCAACACGAGGAGTAGAGTGGGAGCGTTGGAAAAAAATAAAGCGAGACAGTATTAAAAAGACAGAGAAGATAATAAAAAAGAAACCAAGAGTGTGTGTAATCGTACGTTCGTGCGAGAGGCGGTCCACGTTGGAGTATAAAACGTTGAAATTCCGCGGGTTCAGTTGGTGATGGCAAAAGGCACACAAGTCCCGGGTGAGTTATAACGCGGTTGAGGCGTCAACGGCCTTGAAATTCTTTGGGAATATCAAAGCGTCGACACAGGTCGACAGTGTTATCACCAATTCTAAATCAATATTATTTTTTATAATTTTTTTCTCACTCGTGCTACTCACTGAATACTTAATTGGTGACGAGTGAAATTGAGTTGATGCTAATACTTGAACGAAAAAACTCGATTTACTCGCGTACGAGGAAATAAACAGTGAGATAAAAGTCCGGAGCTTTTTTCACTCTCAAACACTGGGAGCACAAATAGACGAGAACTAGGAAATCAAACTCCCCATTTAAAACATGACCACGTGACCTGTCGCTTCGTAAACATCGTTGGACCACGTGCTTTACCCCCTCTATCCTCCCCCCCGGGCAACCGCTGGCGTCCCCACTTCCCCGACACTTCGGCGCTCACGTTAAGTCCCGCGCATTTTGTAGCCACTCCTGAGGCTTCGATAACACTTCTTCGTTCTGTCGGCAGTGCCACGTGCGAGTAGATTTTTTCTCCGTTTGTTTTTCCGCGTTCGCTCAGGTGTTGAACACAAACGAGGGAACAAACGAGGGACTTTTGTTGAACCGTGCGAGTGTTGTTGTTAGAGGAATAGTTTGTGTTTTAGAGAAAAATTGAGGATTGCAATCATTCAAGGTGGATTTTACGGACGATACTGGTATGATGGACTCGGTGACGGGACCGATAATGGTCCCGACAACCATTCAACCGCCACCGTCACACTCGCCACCCGATCAGCCGCACACACCCCAGGGGTTGTCGTTTGATCTTGAGAGTGGATTTGAACCGCAGACTCGCGCGCGCTCCAACACGTGGCCGTTGCCGCGACCCGATGGCTATGTCGATGGCAATGTTGGGGGTGGCAATGGGATTGGCAAGGATGGCATTGAGAGCGGAACACCACCACAACAGAGTGCAATTGGACAGGGGGCTGGGCTTCTTCCCGTTAAGAAAAATTCCTCGAGACGAAATGCCTGGGGCAATCTCAGCTATGCGGATCTTATAACACAGGCCATCACTAGTGCACCTGAGAAACGGCTCACACTTTCGCAGATTTATGAGTGGATGGTGCAGAATGTACCGTATTTTAAGGACAAGGGGGATAGCAATAGCAGTGCCGGGTGGAAGGTGAGTTTTTTTTTATGTTATGGGCTGTCTTGGTTGGTGTTGAATATCAAATCTATTCATTTTTCATAAAAAAAATTTTTTAATCCTTGTTCGATTGGAAACTATTTTTCTCATAGAAATCTGATTGTGCACCAGGGATGCAAAATGACGGTAATTTTTCTGTTTATCAAGTTTTCTGACCATTTCTGACTTGGCGCATACCTCGTGATGCAAACTGACCGGTCAACTTACCCAATTGTCAGTCATTTTTTCTCGTCATTTATGCTGAAAAATCGTCTATCTAGATGTAATTTGACCGTCATTTCTATGCTCGGTAATTTTTTTTTTTCATGAATTTTTTTTTTATTTTAGCAAAATTATGAATAACGCCGAAACGGAAATCGAAAATTTAATGAATATTACCTTAGTATGGAATTGCAAACAAATCAGAAAAATTCCATAGCACTTTTCTTATTTATTATTATCATAGAATCTAAAAAGCTCAAAGATAGAAAAACAGTTGTATAAAATTTTTCATTGCATAAATGATTTCGTACATTTTCTCATTTGAGAACTAATTAAAGAACTCTCTCAAACATGCGGTGTCTAAAGCAGGCTATCTTTTACTAAAATTTGAAGAGCTCTAGGGTCCAAGGCTCAGCCCAAGGGCCGAATTTTGAAGTAACGCGGTAACATGATGAACGATATTTGTCGCGCTCTATCTAGATGTAAAATCACCGTCAAGATTTTCTTCGGTCATTTTTGGGACGCGAAATTCCGTCACTTTTTTCGGACCAAAAATGACTTGTAAAGTGACGGTAAATTGATCGGCCAGCTTTGTCTGTTATGTCCCTATTGTGCACCATGTTCCTTCATTCGACATTGCTGACTTGGCGTTCTTTTTAATTTGTATTTTCCAAAAATTTCTACTTCCTACATGGAGAGAAATTTTTGATAGAAATTATCCTACCGTTCTGTAAAAGTGTATCATGAGTCATCGTTTCCTCATTTCTATCCCGAAATTTAGTAAAAATTAATATATGATGATCAAATTTTATTCTACGTTAGAGAAATTTTATCCTGACGCATAATAAATTTTACCCTTCCAGTCCAATAATTTTTATGTAGATAACAACGAAAATTCTAGAACGGTTGGGAAATTTCACCCGACCGGCACGGTCATTTTTATTTTTATCAGGATAAAATTTCTCTAACGCAGAATAAAATTTGATCATCACACATTAATTTTTACTAAATTTCAGGATAGAAATGAGGAAACGATGACTCATAGTTCACTTTTATAGAACGGTAGGATAATTTTTATCAAAAATTTCTCTCCGTGTAGTAAGAACCAAATGAAACTTTTTTTAGCGCAGTTTTTTTACTAAAAACATTTCTTTTTTTTCCGTGGATACGTTTATGGTTTCAATATGGGGGGTCATTTTGGAAAACAGTCCTTATGTGCAGCTCCATCTATCGGAATTCTAGAAAATTCTAGACATTTCGAGGTAATCCGAGAAGTTTCTTGAAATTTCGAAAAAATTCAAGGAGTTTCTAGAAAATTTGAGGGAATGCAAGGAGTTTCTAGGGAATTCGAGAAAGTAGGAAAGACTATGGACGTATCCACATACAACTTCAGCTGTATCGAAGATACAGCCGCCGGCAATTTTTTAGAGAGATTTCATTATTTTCTTCAAAATAAGCGAGGAATTGTTTTTATATCCTGTAAATTTTTTTATTTTCAATTCAATTCGGCTCATTTATTTTTCACAGGACAAATCGTCCTTCCAATTAACAATCGAAGCAAAACAAAGATATCAACAAAACAAGTTCTCAAATCAATTCAAGTAGTTTTTGCATTCGAATATATTTTCCGTACTGACCTTCACTTTTCCTCGTCCGGGGGTTGGTATTGCCCCTTCCCCAAAACTCGTAAATGTGAAAATCGAATCTGAAATATACTATGAGAATTGAGGCTAAAAAACTATTAAATGAATTAATTCAATTTAACAATTAACATTTTATGAGAAATCGCTTTCTTGTTATCAAGAAATCGTCCTCGTCATTAAGACAGGCACAAAATTTCTTGACGAAAGTTTTTTTTTCTTAGTGCAAGACAGTGCATTCCCTGCGCTAAAAATTTGACGTTGAGTTGACACCGATCGGTGTCCTAAGTCCACACAGTTTTCAATGTGGGGTTGCGGTGTCAGAATTCCACTGCACCATAAGGAGCCACCTGTAAAATCTCGCGTTAATTCAACACCAATCAGTGTACCAGGAGTTCCACACTGGATTTTTACTCTGTAAATCGAACTCAATGTCACTTCCAAGAATTACGACTAGAATGTCCCTGAAATGTAAATTTCTCTTTAATGATGATTGCGAGAGCAAATCAATGCTGGAGTTCTCAAATATTTAATTACCTTGATAATGAATAATTGCAGGAGAGAATGTCAAACCCATTTTCTGTTTGATGATTTCATCAGCGAAAAAAAAGTCCCTCTGGAATTCCTTCTTCAAGACATTCATTTTTTAGATAAATAAACATAAGAAAGACGTTGTCATTCGCCTGGAATATTTCCATGCAAAATACTTCTCGTTTCTAACCATCCCAAAGCAGGAAATATTTCCAGTTTTTTCTGATAACTGATCTGCCTGAGTTCATGTGAATTCCCTCGGTGGCTAACCCGCAAAAGTTTGCTATTCCACCAGAATTCTTGAAAGGCCAACCTATACCAATGTTTCAAGATGATAAAACTTGGATAGATAAAACTGGATAGAATGACAATAAACAAATTTTAGAATTCCCACAGCTGTTCAATAACCCATCGGTACCTGAGCCACTATCAAAAGACAAACGACTCCGTGGTAAAGAAAGGCTAGTTCGAAACCATAGAATTGTGTCAGATCAGTTGTGCTAATGCTTTAAAATTATAAATTGACTGGCAACACAAGTAAATCGGAGAACTTCAGTCTTATTTCGACTTGAGATTCATGAAGTCACACTAATTTCTACCTCAAATTGTAATTTTATATGCCCTTTTATAAAACTGTCCCTGAAATTCCATTTTTTAACGGCGCTAGTTGCAGAGAGAATATCAAGAGATATTTTCCGTTTGATAACTTCATCATCTACAAAAAAAGGTCCTGCAAAATTCCTTCTTCAAGGCATTAATTTTTTATATAAATAGTCATCTAAGAAAGACGTCGCAATTCGCCTGGAATATTTCCATTAAAAATAGTTCACATTTCTAAACATCCCAAAGCAAGAAAACATTTCCAGTTTTTTCTGAAAACTGGTCTGCCTGAGTTCATGTAAATCCCCTTGGTGGCTAACCCGCAAAAGTTTGCTATTCCACCAGAATTCTTGAATGACCAACCTATACCAATGTTTCAAGATCATAAAACTTGGAAAAAACTGGATAGAATGACAATAAACGAATTTCAGAATTCGTGTGTTCACTTCCGCGAGTAATTCCCACAGCTGTTCAACAACCCATCGGTACCTGAGCCGCTATCAATAGACAAACGACTCCGTGGTAAAGGAAGGCTAGTTCGAAACCATAGAATTATGTGTCAGATTAGCTGTGCTAATGCCTTAAAACTACAGACGCCTAGAAGAGAGACAACTATAAGGCAATACACATATACAGAATGATTGGTAGGTGAGGCCAGTGGCGCACGGCATACCAAGGCCGTCTCTTGGCATCTGCATTCCCACCCGATCCGACGATCAGCGATAGAGAGGAACCCAACTTTCCGTTAACTTTGCCAATGAGAATATTGCACGTGGCGTCGATCTCAGAGTAGTACGACGTTAAAACCTACCCGACAACTACTCCTTCCTTCTCGAATGTTTTGATTTCTCGAAAAGGGAAGTTGTACGGAGCTCATTTTTTTTCAATTCCCACATTCGTGCGTCGTTCACAACGTAAATAACAAAATTGACGGATAATTTGACGTTTTTAGGTTGACTTTTCGGTTATGACGTCAGTAACTCGGAGTCGTATGTTCATTGGACAATGCGCACGCAGGAATGAGGTTAGGTTGCCAGGATTCCCCTATTTATGCGTTTTTTTTCAGATAGTTAAGTACTTTCCACAGTTTGACATGGATCACAAGATTAATTCTCAGATTTTTAATCGTCTAATTTGTAAAGAAAATTGGGGGAGAAACTTTTAAGGATATCTAAGCACTTTGGCTATTTTTTCGCAAGCGAAATGCTTTTCTGCTGTTGTAGTAGAATATCTGAGCTTTCATTTAAGCGCCATGTCACCCCAAATCTCGATTTTGAAACCTTAAAAAGCATTTTAAAACACCGAAAACAATTAGAGAGTTTATTTTTGAAGGGAGATTGATGAAATAATTGAAAAATCGCAATTTTCTACAAATAATTTATAAACAATCAATTTTTCATCACAAAAATTATTTGTTGAATCGTAACAAATTTAGTCATATTCAGGATGTTACCAGAATGTTTCCGAAAGTTTAAACAATTTTAATTATCTATTTATAAACAACGAATATTAAAAAAAAATAATAATTCTGTTTTAAAAATTTTTCTCACGCAATTTAATTAACAAATGGATTGTCTTTGTTTTTTCTGGCTTACAGTGAATTATTACGATTTCGAAAAACCAATTTTGACAGTGGAAAATTCATTACTGTCAATAAATGACTCAGAAAGCAGTCACATCCTCAAAAACATCTTGTTGCAACTATTTTATGGATCTTCGTCCAAAAATTGTCTTTCTAATTTATTTTTTTCAATAAAAAAATCAAATTTCAACCCTTGAAGTTTAACTAATAAAATCATTACAAAAGGTCCAGAAATCTAGGCTGAAATGAAAACCCTGATCTTCAACTACAAATGTAGAACTGGGTCTCAACAAAAAACAAGTGGGAAATTCCCGATGCATAGCATATAGTATAGCTTTTTTTGCTAATAAATTAGCAATATGCTTCCGAATGGTCATGTTGCATTTTTTTTCTTCCGTATATGATTTATATTTTCTTTATTT